CTATGGGTCAGAATTGACTCGGCGGCACTTCACAACAACAACAACACTAACTTTCAACAGTAGAAATAGAAAATGATTTATTTGTGAACAAAAAGACAACTTATCAAGAGTGATTGGAACCTTGCTTGCCTTCTTCTCATTCTGAGTCTTTCTCTATCTCCAGTCCTGCTTTGGCACTGTTGGGTAAGCACTGACAACCACCAGGTCCTTGGAAACCTCATACAGGGTTCTCCATCAGTGTGAAACGGCTCATGGCACACAACGGCAACATACCTTGACAAATCGCCATATTCCTTTCTAAATCTGGATCAGCTGCCAACGTTTTATCATTTGGATTTTACATGTTGTGCAATAGCTCCAAGAGCTTCCGTGATGTGACGTCACAGTCTGTCTGGCACCTGGGGACGAAGGCCTGCAGCAGTCTTCTGAAATGATGAGCCCAGCCTTTAGCGGCACTAAAAAGTCCTTTTAGCTTCTTTACAATGACCGTTTCCTTTCAATGGAGCAACTGACTTCCACACTTTCTCCTGAATGCTAACCAAACTGCTTGGTATTAATTATTATAAATATCTTTGATATTTTTCTATCTAAAATAGAGGAAAGTCTCCTATTCAACTATAAGCAACTTTGTTTCTCCTGCAATTAAAACTAAAAGGCATTGCAGAGCTTCTGGTGGTTTTGTAGTCATTGGGCTCTTCCTAGACCCCTGCAGTGACATCTTACAGGCCTAGGTCTCATCCATCTTGGCTTTGATATCATCATCTTCAAATCTCCGAACTCCCCTATTACGTCCACGTTCACATCCAATGCCATCGCTTTTTGCTCCCTTGCTGTACTTTCATCTTTGTTGGCCAGTTCCCTCTTTGGCTTAGCCATGTTGTAAAATATCACATCACACTATCACTGAGAAACAAGGAGGGAGCACCACTGTAGGCTCTGCTGTCTGCTAGGAACAGACGCGTACTGACAGACTGACAGACTTTGAAAGGAGGAGCAGAATGCACATCTATTTACATGAGTCATCAGTGGACTCGAGAGCTAGCTGTGAAATGTACCTTATGCAGCTTCTCATCTTACTGGGGACTAGTGTCATTGAACTAAACCATGGTAACTAATGTGTGCAAAGCAAGTACTTCTTATTGGATGAATTTTCTATGTGGATATTGGAGTCACCAAGAATAGTGGCAGAAATTGGGGGGAAATGAACACTGCATTCCAGAAATACCAGTCATCAAGTCATGCCAGGAATAAACCAGGGGGCTAGTGGCAATTGCAGCCAGTAGAGGTGAAAGCATTAGTATTACACACCTAGGAGCATAAATTCCAAGGAGCTAGGAGTTTAATATCAAAGGCCCTGTGGCCTGAGGGAGTGAAGGAAAACAGAGCGTCTCCCTGGGAGAGCGACTGTGGGTCTCTTCCTTAAGGAAGAGTCTGGATGTTACTCAGGACAGAACCCGAAACTGCAATGCACATCTGGAGGAGGAGTTGGGAATACAGCGACCACTGTCAAAACCCCCATGAAACAGGGAGTCAGATTAGAGGGCATTTGGGTTTCTGATGTGACTGAAGAAAACACGTGGGTGTCACTTACTGTGACTGACCCTCCTGGCTCCTGGGCAACCAGTCCTGAGGGCCCGGTGTCAGGGGCCGCACTCTTGCCTAGGCTCCCGCTAACATGGTTGCCTAGGGGGCTTGGGTGAAGTTCTCTCTGTGGAGGAACCTCAGTACAGATGCAGGGGGCGAGGCAGTGGGAAGGGGGTGGCTGTGGGATGTGAGTGGGGTGGGAGCGTTATAGAACGCAAGTGCACAGAGATGCAGCGTGCAGAGCGTGCGTGCCTAAAGCGGCCTCTGGACCCACCGCAGTCTGAGTTGTTACCAGAACTACAGATGCTTACAACATACCTGCAGTCCTGCTGTGGTGCTCTAGAATAAGCACTGGACTACTAACCACAAGATGGCCAGATTTCATCTCTCATACTGTGTGTGTGTGGAAATATATATATCTATTTATTAATTATAATCCTGTTTATTGTATTCGGGTAACCTTTCTTTTCGTCTTTACTTCCTGAAGTAAAGACTTTATGATCTCTCTCTTTTTCTTTGACTGCTTCAACCAATAATTACTCTTATCAATGGAGAAGAGATTGAAGTTGTCAAGGACTTCATTCTTCTTGGATCAACTATCAACACTCACGGAAGCAGCAGTCAAGAGATCAGACGACGTATTGCATTGGGCAAATCTGCTGCACAGGAACTTTTTTAAAGTATTGAAGAGAAAAGATGTCAGTTTGAGGACTAAGGTGCACCTGACCCAAGCCATGGTATTTTCACTAACCTCACATGCATGCAAAAGCTGGACAGTGAATAAGGAAGACCATAGAAGAATTGAGGCTTTTGAGTTATGGTGTTGGAGGACAATATTGAAAGTGCCATGGGTGACCCAGAGAACCAGCAGATGGGTGTTGGAAGAAGTGCAGCCAGAGTGCTCCTTGGAGGCCAAGATGACCATACTTCATCTCTCATACTTCGGACATGTTGTCAGGAGGGGCCAGTCACTGGAGAAGGATATCATCTTTGGAGAAAAAGGATATCATGTTTCAGAGAATAAGAGGAAGACCCCCAACGAGATGGACTCAAGTGTGGCAACAATTTTGAGGTTGGCCCAGGATCGGGCAGTGTTTTGTTCTGCTGTGCATAAGGTCTCTATGGGTCGGTACCGACTCAATGATACCTAGCAACAACACAACAATTAACCACACGGTTGGCAGTTCAAATCCACAAGACACTCCTCGGAAACTCTACAGGATCACTATGAGTCAGTACTGACTCCATGGCACTTAACGACAACATATCTGAGGTCCATTGAGCCTCATAAATGGCAGACTGTATCACATATATTATGGAGAGGTTCAAAGTGTAAGAGTATACAGAAAAGCCCATGCTTTTTTGTTGTTAAAACAAATGTGATTCAAGAAGCTCCATTTGGAGATAAAATTGTAAATAATCAAAACTACCAGGAGGCTCAATATCCATAGAGTTCATGTATTTTGGAGAAGTTTGGAAGTAAGCATTTTGAAGTGCATGTCATCAGCTATTCACAATAAAGAGCAAATACCAAGGCCAAGGCTACGTAACTTTCTGTTTCATGTTTAGCTGCAACCCAGCTGTCCCAAGCAACGTCCCAGATCCCCCTGCTGGCAACCTGCAAGAGAAATTTGAAAATGACCAATTTTAGATTGTAGTTTTAAAAGCAATTGTTAATCTAAATAAATGTGAATAATAATAATCAAAGGCCATCAACATCTTAGCGATATTTGAAAGGTAATGTATCCAGCTGTCCTTCCATGGCAAAACCTAAGGGAGGTGCTTCCTCCACCAGTCTTCCTGGTCTGGGGGGTGAGTGCTGTCTCTCACTGAGACCCCAGCACAGAGCCCGGGTGTGGGGCTAGGAAGGTGCTGTCTCTGCTTAAGGAGTCCCTGGGTGACACAAACAGGCTGGCAGTTCAAACCAACCAAAAGGCTGGCAGTTCGAACCTAGTTTTCCGCCGTGGAAGGAAGGCCTGGTGATCCTCTTCTGAAAGATCTGAGCCTTGAAAGCCTATGCAACAGCACTGCTCTGCACCCGTGGGGTCACGTGGGATCGGCTCCATGGCCACTGCTGCAGGATAAGCACTGGACTGCAAGGCCAGCTTGAACCATGATGCCAGGGGTTCAAACCCATCCTCGGAAACCCTCTACAGGGTTGCTGTGAGTCAGAACCGACTCAAGAGCACTTTACAACAACAACTATAAGATAAGTACTGGGCTGTAAGGTCAGTTTGAACTACGAGATTGGAGGTTCAAACCCAGCAGCCACTCCTTGGAAGCCTATGTAGGGTTGTTATGATTCGGAACCTACTCGATGGCACTTAACAACAACAACTGTTATACTTTATGACAAGGAATTAGTCTTCCTTCCCTGAGATTTTTCTCAGTTGACAGTTCGTTAAAACCTTAACTGAAATTAAGACTAGGGTACAGGCAGGCTGTTACAGGGAATCCTAAGTCCTTTGCGTTGTTTGCATTCATACATGTTCAGACTGCACCTTCATGTCCGGCTGGTCTAACCTGGCTGCAGACCCTTTGCAGCATCTCCCATCATGAGCTTCAATTTCCCACCTTTTGTGTGAACTGGCTTGTACATGCTCTGACCAACACAATGTGACACTGAGCAGACGCTGCCCCGACCCAGGATGCACAGAAGTCCATTTCACCTGCTGGAGGCTGAAGGATCACTGGCAGAAGCATGCAGGTATCCAGCTCACAGCCTGCCCCAGCATCACACTGGCAGGGCCCAGATGGCAGAACCACCACACAGCTGCTCTAGGCTACCCTGACCCATAGAATGGTGAGCAAGAGAGTTAGGGCCATTTAAAGCTCCTAAGTTTGGGGGTGTGGTGTTTTCACAGCTGATACACCCCCACTCCATAGCCCACCAGTCCCCACTAGCTAAGTTACACCGATGACACTTACCCATCAAGCACACGAGTTATTCCCTGCCTAGCACTACATGTCTTCTTTGATGAGCTGCCCAACTGGCCCCCCATTCCCTGTCTCTAGGTAGCTCACAGGGTCCTCCCTCAGGCTAACACGTCTCCTGCAGTGGTTCCCTTCTCTCTCCATTGTACTCAGCACTTGGATGTCTCCACCTAGCTCACTGGGGCCCCAGTCTGTCCACCTGCCCACACCTCCTTCTCCCCATGCAGATGGCAGTCTGTCCCAGTGACTTTGCTCTCTCTTCTCCCCAGCTGCCTTGTACACAACACACTGCTCAATATGCAGCCTAGTTGTAGGGAGCTATTGGTATCTTCTACTACAGTAAGTAAGGAGCTCTGGTAGCGTAGTGGCTACGAATCAGGCTGTGAACCTTAAGGTCAGCGGTTCGAAACTACCAGCCGCTCCATGGGAGAAAGATGAGGCTTTCTACTCCCGTAAAGATTTACACCCTCGGAAACCCTGTACAGGGTCGCTATGGGTCGGAACCGACTCAACGGCACTTACAACAACAACAACAACTACAGTAAGTAACTCTGTTGCCCACTGACGGCTCTTTGCTGGTGACGGGGGTAAGGTGTGGGAGGGGGTCACTGCAGATGCTGTCATCTGATCCTCACAACTCCAGAACTTAGGCTTCCCCATCACCGTTCCGTTTTGTAGATAAAGAGACCACGCCAACAATTTATAGTAAGGAGGGGAGTGATTAACTTTGCAGTCTAGGAGCGGAGGTCCCTGGGACCATCAAGGGAGAAGAGCAGAGAGCGGGACCCTACCCAGAGAAGCAGTGATGCCTGAAATGGAGGCAGAGATGATGACGTGGAGTGATGGAGCAGCTGGAGACTTTAGATCCTGAGAGGGAGAGCGACTGTGTGCTGAAGACCTGGGGGGTACGGGGGAGGGATTGCATGGCATACCCTTTGGTTGGTTGATGATGCATGGAGGGGATTGTAACCATGGCAATGAGACTATATACGATAGAATGAATGTAAAACTAATGTTCTCCCATGTAAACTATCACATAATTCACAATAAAACATTTAAAAAAAAAAAAAGAGAGAAACCAAGCCAAAGCCATAGCTAGTTGATCAAGCTCCAGAACCTAGGTGACCTGGTTCCAGAACCTACAGGACTCCAGAACTGAGGCCCAGGACAGCTGACTCCAGAACCCAGGAGACCCAGGACTCCAGAACTGAGGCCCAGGACAGCTGACTCCAGAACATAGCACCTTCAAATGTCCTCCTTAGATGGTTTCCTTAAACTCAAAATTGCACTGTTTTGAATAGAATCTCTTTAGAGACTCACAGGCCATGTCTTATAATTCTTTGTAGAACAAAGTACTCTCCAGACCTATATTACACACTATTCTGTTGGTTTCACTGGATCTGCATCATTTGATTGCCAGCTCTTTCTTCCTAGTCTGCCTTTATCTGGAAACTCCACAGAAACGTGTCCACTATGGGTAATTCTGCTGGTATTTGAAATGCCAGTGGCGTAGATTCCAGCATCATGACAATACACAAGCCACCACAGTAGGACACATAGACAGATGGGTGGTGGAAAAGAGAAGTACTGGTTAATTAATTACCTATTAAATGATATTAAATTGTTGGAACTCATATGCTCAGGAAACATGATACCCATGCAATGAATACATTTTAATAGAAAAATGCCATTTGTAAGTGAGAAATTTTCAAACAAATTACAATGACATAAAATATACTTAACAATGTTCTCCTTTGATTCCAAAGTCACATCTGCGCCCTGAAGCAATTCGGCATCATCAGAACCGCCAGCTCACTGAGGAGCTACCTGACAGTGGTACAGGCTGGGTCAGTGGGGTACTTACATGTATGGCCTGGCCAGCCTTTTGAATAAATAATATTTTTATCATAAACTTGTAACGGCTATACCCAAATTCCTTCACGGCTGACAATATGCGATCTGCCAGTTCAAGTGACAAATGAGAGAAAACCTTTTGATCATATTTCACATCCTTAAGACTGTCCTGTAGAGAAAAAACATTGACTTTTCAATCCAAGTATTTTCTACAAAAAAATCAAGCACAGAACATGTGTCTAAATGATACCAATAACATATCTAAAAAATACACAAATTAAAAAAAATTTTATTGAGTTTTTGGCAAGTTTACACAGTAAGTTAGGTTCCTATTTTACAATTTCACACAAATTGACCATTGGAAATACCTAGGAGTCATAAAACAGCCACCTACATTCAAAATTTTGCTTAATTAGTCTATAGTGAGCTCTAAGCACCAGGTTTTCTCAAATTAAAAAAAAAAAAAAAGCCTCCAGGTGATTCTAGTGAGCAGTCAAAGCCAAGAAGCACTAATTTAGAGGTTCAGAAAAAAGACAGAGGAGCAGCTAATGAGTAAGCAAAAGGCCAGGAGAAAGTGGTAGCCAAGGATCCTAATGGAGAAAGGGTTTCAGGAAGGGAGTGATCAACAATGTCAAATGCCAGACCACAATGATAATGAAACCGACCGACATGTGGATGCTGAACTCAGGAAACTGCTGATCAGAGGCATTACGATGAAGAAAGTGGGACTGGGCTGGACTCAAGAGAATGGAAAGAGGACAAGGTCCACCCTGCCACAAAGATTAATTCAGAGAGTTGCTTTACTTTACTTCATAATATTCAATCCCATTTACTCAAACATTTATAAAGGTTGTTTCTAATGCTTCAGGATTATAGTTTGGGTTTCGCTCCCTTATACATAGAAGATGAATTGCTGGGTCAAGGGGTCATCCTTTTCTTAAACCACCTTGACATATTACAGGAGAGTGACGCTGTCATCTTTTACCAAACTGGGTATTTCCACGAAAATAAAACCTCTGCTCATTTACTACGTCTAAAATGGCATCTCTTTGTTCTGCTGATTTATAATTCTTAAATTATATTAAGCCTGAATATTCATATTTATATTAGCCATTCAAGTTTCTTGTTCTAAAACCATGTTCTCTTGGTATTGAGAAGTAAATTTTATTGATTTATAAAATTGCTCATATTCAAAACATAAACCATTATCAATCTGCTCAAAAGTTTCCCAATTATCATTTGCTTTTTCCCTTTTAAAGCTTTTATGTTGAATTATTTTCTATTTTATCAGTTGTGCTATTTCTCACAAAGAATTTAAAATCTTGTATAGCCAAATCCATCTTTTTCCTTTATGATTTTTGTCATTATTCTTAGAAAGTATCACCCGACTCAGAGGCTAGCTAGTTGTTTTTTCTTGTTAAGTGTCAAGTCAGTTCCGACTCATAGCCACCCTGTACAAGGTTTTCCAAGGAGTGGCTAATGAGTTTTAACCACTGATCTTTCAGTTAGCAGTCCAGTGCTTACCCTACAGCACCACACCAGGACTCCAAATAGTCCTTACATAGTCTACATTGTTCTATGGTGACGTTTTGTCTTGGTGATTTGGGTTTGTACACTTCTTTAGTCTTTCTAGAATTCACTTTAGCATTAGGTGTGGGGTGGCCATCTGTATCCACATGTTAATGAGTTATTCCAGCAGTATTTGTTGAACAATTCTCCATTACCCTACTATGTGTGATTTCACCTTGATCACAGAGTTCTGACATATGAAGAATGGACTCAGTTTCTGAACTGTTCTTATTCAAACATCATCTAGCCATTACGCTAGCAGTAAACCGCCTTAATGATTTTATCTTTTAAATGTATTTGCTGTTGTTAAGTGCCGTCAAGTCAGTTCCAACTCAAAGCAACCTTCTATAAGGGCTTCCAAGGAGCAGCTGGTGGGTTTGAACAGCCAAACTTGTAGCTATCAGTCCAGAGCTTAACCTGTAGCACCACATCAGAATTCCAAATATGATACACAGATATTGACTCATAATTTTTCTATCCTTTTTTTTTAAACCATGTTTATCCTTCTAATGCCATTTAGAATCCATCCCGTTTATCCCCAAATTCCCACTATGCTTTTGTTTGAAGTAGCGCTAAATCT